GTCGCATCCAGTCAAGCCCCGAATTTCGCATCTTTCAGATTTTCATAATGCCTAGTTTCTATTCAGTCGTTGAGCTGTCGTTACATGTCTTTCCATGTCTTTGCAATAATCGTAAAAGACCGATAACGAATTATGAGAAGAATCATGTCGTTTCCTTTCTTTTTATGTCGTTGAGATAGGATTTGATCTATCCCGATTATCCGAGTGACACCAGGGGCGGATCTAGACTATATCAACTGTATCAAATAATACAGTCAGATTTTGCCGAAAATAACTATAATCATAAATGCTTTTATTTCATCATTTTACATCATTTGGAAATCGTTTTTTCGCTTCACAAGCTGACAAGCGGTTACGGAGCAATTTTTGGCATTTCGCATTCGCCAGCAACGGTTCACTTCTACCTGCTAACAAGCCCGCTTTTTGGGAGTTTGCTTCTCCGTTCAACTCAATAACATAACTCAGAAAGACATTGTCGTAGCAGTTGAGATAAAAATAGAACATTTTTGATACAGTCAGCGGGGGGGTATAAGCTATATTTAGACCGTTCGACTGTATCAAACCAATCAGAATCGCGATCACTGATACAGTTTGATACAGTCAGATGCTGAGTCAGCTACATTGCTCTATTTGAACGATGACCAACATTCCACGCAAAAGGCGCAAGTCTCATTACAAGCAAACTAAGTCTATACGCAGTTTATCTGGCTATCATGGCATCACGCGCTCTGTTAGACAAGTTGAACTGTGCGCTCAATTAGCGAAATTCTTTGGCTGAGAAGGTCGAAGAGGTAACGAATATCAGACATTCATGCGAAATTATTTTTCTGCTGCTCAAAGAGGGGAATAAATCGCGAGATATATACATGTCAATTTGCGGAGCTACAGTTTCCCAAAAGCCAGCGATTGCGCTCTCATAACCATTATCCCGTCAGGTAACTACAAAGTTTTGTGAATATATTAATATCTTATTCGTTGTAATGATTTTGTGAAGTTAATTTGCATCATGAGTGGAAAATCTGGCTAAACTAATACCCAGTCTGATTTGTATACAATAATAGCATCGCGTTCGGATCAATGCACGTGTTTATATTAAAACCGCTATTATTAATATTTTCTTAAGGTTGATCTGCTAATAGAAATAGTACTAAAGTCGTTACTGTCGTTAGAAGTTTGCCTGAATCATTTCCTAAGCTTTGTCCATCTAGTTTTAATAGCTATGAGTTTATGAAACGGAGTTTGCTCTAAAATTTTGACTGTGAAATATGAAATGCCCACAATGGGAAATATGATACCACTTTGCCCCATGAATAACCTTAACATTATATAAGTCTAGTCACTGACTGCTGGGAGTAGAACTACCTTTAATTTACTGCAACTTCCAAATTTATCAATTTGATAAGAATATAAATCATAATCATCAATTTTTTTAGTACGCATTTTAAAGCCGGGAAAAATGTGCTTTGCTAAGAAAAGCCGAAAATTTTGGTAAAAAATATATCTGGAAAAGTACGCTCAAATCGCGGGAAATAGCATCTCCGGGCTTCCAGTTTCAAAAATTTTCCGGGGGAGCATGCCCCCGGACCCCCCTAGTTATGCGAGACCTAGTCTGTGATACAGTCAGATTTTCGGCCAGATCCGCCCCTGGACACTGTCGTTTTTCTGTTTCTCTCAGTCGTTATCAGAAGTTCACGATTATTCCAAAGACACGGAAAGACATATAACGACAGCTAACGACTGAATGGAAACTAGGCATCAGGGAATTTTTTTTCAATGTTTGTCAACCTATAGCCTTGTAGTTGTCTCGTTTATTCCTATATTCATTTTCACTGCCAATTCTGCACGAGACTACAGTTATATAATTATATTTTGCCGTGCATTAGCAAGAAAAAGTTCATAAAAAATTTACAGCACAAGCATCATTTGGTAATAAAAAATCGAACGCACTTGCCTAATCTTTGATTACTACTGGTTTAATGCCATTATTTACTGGCCCATACTCGATCAGGCTCGAAATCCCGCTGTCCTCATCACACCGGCACCTTCCACTCTTTCAAATCGTATTGGCAGTAGCTCATGCAATCATTATGTTTTATATTTTTAGCTTGTATGTGGCTTACCCAAGAATTGGCTGTAAAAAATGTTTTCGCTCACTACCACAGGGGTTGCCGTTAGTTTTGCTTTTTTTATGTTTCGTTCATGTGTGGCAACGATCGCTGAATACATGCCCTTATTCATGGCACAATTAGGATACAGCACAACTTATGTCGGTTTGGTCCCTGTGCTTGGTTTCGTCACTCAAGTGATAGGAATACCGATCGCAGGATATTTGTCTGACAAATTTCGCATGAGGAAGCACCTGCTGCTTATATGTATCCTTTTGTCGATTCCCAGCACCTTGCTGTTTCTGGCACCGAAAGCGCCTGATTTAACCTGCGAAGAATCATCATCGGGAAATATCACAGAATCATTCGGAAACTCCAGTATTGTTCATAATTCTGTAATGAACGCATCATCTGCTGAAAAAAATGTCGAAAATCCTTTGGGGAATAGCGAGACGAAATACGACGGCGATATGGTAAAATTCTTTTTGATTATACTTTTCTTGCGTGGTTTTTTCGAACTGGTTAAACGACTTTCTGTTACATTAATTACTGTCGCCGCTGTGACACATGTTAAGCAAGATAAATCAAAATTTGGATTTTATGCATTTTGGGGTGAAATTGGCGCCGGAATTTCGCTCTTCATTGTTGGAACGTTGGCAGGCCACATACCCCATTTGGTCTGCGGGAAAGAAGTCCCAAGTTATTACGTTGTTTTTTTCTACGCGGCTGCGGTACAGTGTATGACTTTAATTTCTTTGCCTTGGTTAGAATACGAGTATCTTGAAAAACGGGTGGTGGATTATGAAGAAGTCAAGTCGGTCTTGTCAAAACCTCATTATATTCTTGTCCTGTTCATTTGCGCGCATGCAGGTTTCTGTACTGCGTTTCAATTGCGTTGGGAATTTTGGTACATGCGGCACTTGGGCGGCACGCCGGTTGTAATGGCAGTTGGTGGTTTACTCAGACGGCTTCTAGTTGGTGTTTGGTACATCATATCCCGTGTTATCATTGGAAAACTTGGCGAATTGTATGTCATAGCAATTTCACTGTTTCTATTTGCCGCCTCGTTTGCTGGTCTAGCGTTTACTGAAAATGCTTGGCTGGTGATATTCCTCGATAGTTTTCAGTCTGTTTCGTTTGTCCTAACTTATGCGCTTTGGTAATTCACTTTTCAAAAGCGGGATCAAAGGCATCGTCTGCTTTTTTTCAAGGTGAGCAGAATCCTATCAGTGATTTTTATACGCCATGTATGGTATTATTTTGGGGCAAAATTGAACGGATGCTGCATGGTTTATGCTCGCGGTTATTTCCCCGATTATTTCCGGGTGAAGCATGCCTAGGATTCACTTTTCAAGAAGCAGAATGAAAGGCATCGCCTGCTTTTTTTCATGATGAGCTAAATTCTATTAATGTCAATTTTGTGGTTTAGGCAAGCAAATTTAATGTTCTTATTCTAGAGGAAAAATTGATATGCAATTTTTATGTTAATATTTTTTAAGGAGGTGGAAGCTTAATTTGGGTGCATATATGGAGATTACTTTATGGTTGGCGAGTGCGTACGATGCGATCGGCTATCTTTAAAAGGGGGAACGGGGAATCGGGGATTCGGGGAATGGGGAAATCGGGGAATCGGGGAAGGGGGGAATCGGGAAATAGGGGAATCGGGGAATGGGGGAATCGGGGAATCGGGGAATGGGGGAATCGGGGAATCGGGGAATAGGGGAATCGGGGAATCGGGGAAACTGAAAATGAGATAAAGGAAAAATGCGACTCATTGAGATAAAAAACGCGATAAAGGATAAGAATAGCCTGAAAAGCGGTTCTCAGAGGGGATAAAAAGCCGTTTGAATAAAGCTGAATCTGCTTGTAAACTAGAACTGAACTAGCGAACTTTGATTTGAGTAGACATTGATGGTGTTTACACACTGCAAAATAGTTCTTTTCACAGTTAAATTGTACCAGGTGGCCTTTTGCAGCACCATCAATAGGGTGGTTCCAACTTCCAAGCCTAGGCTACATAGCCTTTAATACGACTGGTTTGCTTTCCCGTTCCATGGCTTATTCTTAATTAATGCATGCTAGAACTGAAGGTCTTCCAGATATTTAGAACAAATTTGAATAACTTCACAAATAACCTCACGAATAACCCTCTGCTCTGTGTGGAGACGGAAGGAGCAAGCTCACAAAAAGAAAAGTGTGGGTATTAGTCATAGTATTATTTCGTTAGAAAACAACCCATTTAAAAGCAGCCGAATTAATAAGCTGAAAGGCTATTGTTTGTAAAAAGTATTTAATAATAATAATGAAATATCACGATTTAGACATAGAATCGTGATTTCCCAATTCCTCCATTCCCCGATTCCCCGATTTCCCCATTCCCCGATTCCCCGATTCCCCGATTCCCCCATTCCCCGATTCCCCGATTTCCCGTTCCCCCTTTTAAAGATAGCCCGATGCGATCCTCGTTGCGATCCTTCACAACGAGCTTTTCATTATAAAAATCGTACAAACGAGCCAACCATCAAGTAATTTGTTTATTATAAATGTGTATAGAGATCAATTTGACAACGGCACGCTTTAAAAAACACAGCGAGCATGCAACATTAATCAAAATTTTATGCATCAAAACATATTTATTACCGTTCAGTTTCTTTATAAAATTGATCAAAAGAAGTTAGATATTCTGTCCGAAAGATTTGAGGATTTGCTGAATGTGAAAAGATCTTGAATATGAGGATTATGTTTTCAATCTCACTCCATAATTTTATTTCGACGCCATCTTGAAAGAAAATGTAAAAAAATTTCCGGCAAAATGACATTCCCCACGTGTGAAGAATATCGTACGTCCAATCAAAAGCCGTGCATGGCATTTTTTCACACGTGATAAACATCGTAATGAGATTAATTTACCGAGTGAAATACGATTTTTATTTCATCATTCGATTCCAGGGGCGGATCTAGACCGGTGCAACGGACGCAGATGCATCGGTCAAAATTGTGATATTGAAATTTGGTCAGATATAATATATTTGTATAGATTATACACATATAAAAATACCTGATAGCTAACTAATGTGATCACACCTCTCCTTGAATAAACTCAGAGTTTTTGTGGGTAGCCTGCGCATGCGCGGCTAACCACTATGTAGTCGAAAAAGTGTCCGGATGTTTGTGTGTGTGTGTGTGGGTGCCACATCTTCGGTAATCGTCGGATATACGAAAGATGACGAACGGTGGTTCTTCTACTTCCGGAAAATTTCGTTGTTTTCGAAGGACGGAAGCAATCGAAGTCACGTTAATACGTTTGTCAAATTTTAAAGCGAAGGCGAGTACTTTAAAGACGAAAAAGCGGTGATCGGTGAGCGTTGAATCTACAACTACAAAGTTACACTAATAGAAAATAAATAAAACATTACCTTATTTGGCAAATGGTAGTAACAAGTTGCCCTGTTTTATAAATTAAAATGCACTATTTCACTTGTCAATTTCTTGGTTGTGGACATGCAGCTATTAAACCAAATATATTACCTTATAATTTGGCAAATAGTAGTAACAAGTTGCCCTTTTTTATAAATTATACTATGCAATATTTCACTTGTCAATTTCTTGCTTGTGGACATGCAGCTATTAAACCAAATGCTTTGGAGTTTAAAAAGAAGCATTTATTTGAACATAACTATAAACAAAACATATTTTTTTAAAAAACAAAACTTTTAACACAAGTGCATTTCAACTGAAGAAAAATCTTTCAAATATTGTTCAGATACATAGATGAGCCCTTTGAAATTGTTATGCTGATATGTTTGAAACAATTTTTACACATTTATATCAATGATGAATGATGGCATTCAATGTTAACTAATTGTCGGACTGATTAGCACAGTGATAAGATATTGTCAACTGATAAATTTAAACTTGGAAAAAGCCACACAGATTTTTTCGACCTACGAACTGGTGCTATTATGTCCAGCTAATTGATGCTGATAAGTTATCTGTAATCAACATTGCAAACCATCTGTATCAATGAAATTACTGGATCAATGAAATCATACTATCATCTTCAGTTATAATGGTGAACATATTGCCAATAAACTTTGGAAAACAAGTGGTATAATCTTACTGGAACAATAACATTTAACCTTTATTGAATATTAACATAACTATAACATTGATTTATCAACAAAATAACCCATCTTGTATGTAACAAAGACATGCTGATAATCAAAGGACATCAAAACGATGATCATTTGAAAAAGTCTGAATCCTTTTTCTCCTTCTTAACTAAGCTTTATGTTATCAGATGATGTGTGCCACCATCCCGGAACCTTACTCTCTTTTTTGTTCTCTTCACCTATTCTACTTAAAAAATTTCATTTCCTATCTCTTGTAAAAATACTTATGTATGTTTTGATCTGTCTAAAATGTATTTAATACAATAAAATATTATAATATATAGCTTGTGTACTAAATTGACTTTGTTATAACTGTATTCAACTAGCTAACTATAGGGTGTTTAATCCCTTGTTTATGGCATTAGAACATAAGACTAGAAAATAATATTTTATTGCATCAGTTGATATTTACTTGCCACTATAGCAGCTTTATCGCAGTTAATAATGTTTTACAGGCTACCCACATGTACGCATTGCGTACCTATTTTTAATCACTTCAAACCAGCGATTTAAATTCATTATTATTGCCAAGTTATCGATATTTGCGATCAAAACATGATTTCGCACTTTCTTTTGTTTTTCGACAAGTCGTCGTGAATAATTTCGCGACAAAAATGGCTTAAACATGGATATAAATAACTTTTCATTACGTAATACACAGTAGCACATGTGAATCACTGATGTGAATTAAGTGCACCGGTCCCGAGTCCTTTTCCGCGTGAAATCTACTGTTACGTCACATTGCCATTGTTTGAGAGTAGATTTGGAAATTTGTGCACCTGTGAGTGCACCGGTCCCGAGTCCTTTTCCGCGTGAAATCTACCGTGACGTAAACGTTTCCATTGTTTTGAGGGTAGATTTGAATCCGCCGACCGATGCACTCGTGCAGATTGCGGGCTTTTTGCTACCTTTTCGCTTCAAGCCTCGTTTTAGATTCTACTGTGACGTACAGCTTTCGCTAAATCGCTTTGGCATAATGGAATTTGCTCTCCCACGCATTATCGAAGTCATGATTACAACAGCAAATAAGGGCATTATTCAAATTGAAAGAAAAATAAAGTTTGAGGTCAAACGGTAACGTACTCGCATAATTTTTCAAAATAAAGAAATGACTACATGCCCCTGGGGTCAATAATATAATCTCTATTCTCGAATATTCAATGGTTCTGGCCAGTTCTCCAGTTCGTTGATATTGCGTATAAATTTAAAGTTGCTTAGGTTTAATATAAAGCTTATGTTATAAGAGCAATTTTTGAATAAATGCCAATAATGGTCATATTATTATGACCACTAGACCTTACTATGACCACTTATTATTATGACCACTATACCACTAGTGACTTTGAGTCACTAGACTAGGTATAAATTATAAACTGTGATTTACATTATTTTATTAATGATGGAAATCACAGTATATAATTTATACCTTACACCATTACTATGCGTGCGAAATAAGGTAACTTGTGTAGCTGATGTCAAGATAATACGACAAGTTTGAGGTATTACAATTAAGTTGTTTTCTGGTTTAATAATGCTACACAACAGCCACAAAAATTATTAGGAATGAATGATCAATGATGTCCAGTTTAGGTCATTACCAATTACCATACAGGTAATTAGACAGTGTAAATTCCTTAACTTCTAGCTATGGTTGCTCATGGCTGTTTTGGTCACCAAAGACTGGTGAATCACAGCTAGTCTATAAATAACTAAATTGCCTAATATAGTTCAAATTAACTCAAGTCTCAACTATTGCTGTAAGTCAAATGGACTGCATTGCTTTAGTTTTAAGATTCTTGGGATAATTAATATAAAAGTTATTTGGGATGAAATAACTTTTGCAACAATATGGGAATCCTAAATGCCTGTACATAGTACATACACTAGTAATTGATTGTGAAGAATATTTTTATTACTCATTGATGTATTCATTGTTGTAACTCTTGAACAACAAAACTATAGGATTGCATGCATACAACCTCATTTATAAATAGATCGACCTTGCTTTTAAGATTTGGCCAGGCAGGATACTACATAGTCTTGGCATATCTTCTATATTAGAAAGATTATTTACACCAGCTTTGCTGATTAAATTAACATAATTAGCCCCACTGCCCCAATCAGTGTTTGTCAGACTAAAACTAAAAAGTCAATTAATAAGACATAAACACTTGAATATTTGCCTAAAGTTTGCAAGCTCTAAAAAGTGGTTCCTTCCTAGTTGTTTTGGAAATATTTTATTTCTAAAGGGAGACAATACTTTGTCAATATTTTTAATTAAAATTTAAATAACTAGCTTTGTACTACTCACAAAAATATTGATAAACATTATTAAGATTGATCAATAACTCGATCTCTCTTATTTCAAAACATCAATTTTTTCAAATTTTTCAAATACTTTTTTGAATAATGAAATTAGTGCAACTCTTGTTGAATAATTAAAGGCCCTATTTCTTCTGAGCTTTATGGAAAAAATTATTTGAATATTTTGATAATTGGTATTGACTTTCGACTTTCAACTACTTTTGCAAACAACTATTTAATTCAAGATTTTACAATGTCTAAACTGCAGTTTATGCAAGATTCTAAAATGAACTCCTGAAATTGTATTATGAAGTACCTCTTTATGTTTAAAAGCTAGGACGTAGTTTTGTCATGAATCTTTGAATGCATGAGTTGGTTTCTATGTTTGAATGTCTATGTTTGAAACTAGTCAGCCAAATTAAATGCAGGGAATCGCGTTTTCGAGTCTCGCATTCCTAGGCTTAAAATTTCCCGGGATAGATGTCTCCGGCCCGCTAGTGGGCCTTTGACATTATCCATGAAAGATGCATCGGTCAGGAAATTCGCTAGATCCGCCCCTGTTCGATTCTGCTGTGCATAAATCTATTCTCGGCATTACCATCATATATACACATTAACCACGCTTGCTCTTGTCAGCTACCTCTGTTAGTAATAGTTTTTTGATAAATTTCGTAATCAAAAGCCCAACGACTTTGTTGATGGCGATTGGAGTTTTGGCTGATGGCGTAGGCAAACAACGCGCGAGATTGACGAATGTATTACTCGTACGCGTAGCCGTACTCGTAAAACAGATTAGCTATATACAGAAATGAAACTTCTGTGTTTTGCTCATTGTTTTGTGTCCCAAGCGCAGCCAGCGCGTGATGACTTCCGGCGAGCTTGGCAAGTCTCATGAGGGAATTTAATGAGTAAAACGCCGTTTTTAAGACGAAAAATTTCTTTTTTAAAAATTCTCGCTACCTATGCTTATTTCTGGAATAAATTTTTAAACAGTGTCGGTATATGTGTCCTTCGCTAATGACGTCATCCTTAGCAAGAAATCTCGTGCTAAAATTCTAAATCAAAACCACAAGTTTTCAATATTTTAAAAAATTGTAGGTAGCCACCTTAAACTCTTATTATTTCGTTTTCACATTTCTATTATTCTTAGATATTTGTTAATTCATTTCGTTTTATCTTCTGGAGATATATTGTATCTAAAGCATGTATTACATGTTTTCTAAACTCAAAAATAGCTCAGCCAGTAAATTTATTGCACAGCTTTCCATACGGCAAGCCCTGCACTCTTCAGCTATATTTTTCCAGTTTTTGCCAGCATCAAATAATTTCATAAACCAGTTCTTAGCTCAGAAGATCCACTTTATCTATCTTTTTAGAAATTTTAAGCGAAATGGGACATCGCCCTAAAGGATTTGTTTAAATCAGCATTTGTTTGTCAAAAATTTGATTTTTCTATCGATTTACTCATTACATTTCAACATGACACTTGCCAAGCAAGTTACACATGCGCACATTGGGCAAAAAACGACGTGACTCGATTTGGCGTCAGTTTCATATCTGTATATAGCTAATCTGTGGTCGTAGTCACTGCTAAAGCTCCCTATTACCAAGGGTAAAATCCGATTTATTACGTTTTACGCGGTGAATTCGGTGGAAAATTTGGTCTTGTTATTTGTTAAACCGTGAAAAGTCCTGACCTCATTCGAGTTTCCCCCTAATTTAGTAAAAATACATATTTTCCACATTTATAAAAATATAAATTTATAAATTTCATCAAAATTTTGCTAAATGACAGTTTGAAAATACAAATTTTTGTCTCGACCAATCAAGAGCTTAGTAGTTCACACTGGCGCATGCGCATAACGTAGAAGACCGTCCATGGCGTGAGGTCCATTGCATAATGGCGGACGACTTTGATTTCGTATTTGCACATCGTGGGTGTAAATATCCGAGCGGATTTATAGTACCCTCGCACGGTGCTCCGCACCGGCTCGGGGATTATCCTAAGTCTGGCAACCCTCTCACAAAAAATAATGCATACACTAATACCATCGCTTGAAACACAAAAATTACGCTAGGTTCCTAAAAAAAACTGGATACAAAACACTTTGGATATATTTACTAAATTTATCTGTCAATTGATCATGTGTATTTTTATCGAAATACACTTTTTATTTGCAAAATTTAAGCATTCCTAAATTGTTTTCAAGTCTAAAAATGACAGATAAATTTATGAAATATATCCAAGGTGTTTTGTAACTAGTTTTTTGTCAGGAAGCTAGCGTAATTTTTGTGTTTCAAGCGATGGTATTAATGTATGCATTATATTTTTTGAGAGAGTTGCCACCCAAGATAGTATGCGGTACCCGCATTGACAATCGCATTGATCGGGCTCCCTCCGGTATCACTGCTGTAAATTGTCTATTTTCCTCTTCATCCTGGAACGAAGCTGCACTTTGAGGAATACATTTCTTTAATTTAGAAAAAAAAAATATATATTTATTTAATCTTTAATGGGGAAGAGGGTTACATAAAAAAAATTACTTTGTTCCAGGTGTGGTGAACCTAACTTTTCATGGAATTGGCAAGGAACTTGGCTCCGCAGTTTTTGGAATCTGTTTTGAAGAATTTGGTACAAGATTAAGTTTCTGTGGTTTCTCTGTTGTCACTGTGGCTTGGATGGCGGTGTTTACTATTTATATCTTCTGTGCTAAAGATGTTCATAGTTACCAGGAGGTCCCACGGGAGGAAGAAGTTAGTGATGATGATCGAGAAATAAAGTGAAGTTGATGCGGAGCATTTGCACTGATAATATGCCGCTGGCGGATCTGGGGGTAGTCAGAATAAATTACACAGCTAAATTTTGAATTCAAAACACCTTAATATTTTTAAAATGAAAAGGATATTTTTAAATAAAAATCTATTAGGATTTTAAGCGATTGCGATTTCAAGCTGTAATAATTTATTCTGATCACCCCCAGATCCGCTACTGTAATCTGTTAAAAATATTTCCAGGTGTTTAAATTACGTTCTTAAGATATGAAAAATAGAATTCTGAAGATAAAATAGAAATCGATGTAAATTCGAGTAAACCCTCATGATTGCGTGGTGGCCATTAATTTTTTACACATCTCTTATATTTTTAAGGATTTTAGCACTCTGTATGTACGTTATCCGGTTTTATATGCACGATTTCATAAACAAGGAACGAGAAGTCCAGTTCAACTGTCCTTAATAACAAGGCTATTGCATGGTTATTAGTTTCAATACAATATGATTAGATAAAAAATTACCAGTACGATTGCAAGTTACAGGTGTAGTAATTTAATCTGACTTACCCTGGGTCCGCCACCGGTCCCACAGCTTTCAAAGTAACGAGAAAACGTGTCCTTTTTTCACGGCTAACATTGCTCTGCCCTCCTGAGAGATACGAGCTTTATCTGAACGAATATGGTAAGAATAAGGTAAGATGAGAAAAAAACGCTGGTTCCCTCTCTATTTGTGACCATCCAAGTAAATTACGATGAGCAACAGAATACTGCCTACCCGCTATAAAGGTTTATGGTATGCATTAATAATTTTAAGGCTTGGTTCCAAAGTATTTTCCTTTTCACAGTGAAGTAGATTAATGATAAGTATATTAATAATGCGTCAGTGGGAACGAAAGCCTTCGGTCAGGATCTCATTCGTGCAACACACTTAATTGATGGACTAAGCAAGTCAGGCCGTAGCTAGAGCGCTTAATTGGGGCGTATTCATAATTATATTCATGTTTGTCTACTGCAGGAACAATAGCGTACAAAAGAAAGTAGTCGGGTGTAAGATGAATGTATGAATATTCCCAACCTACGTTACGGCCGTGTAAGGAACGAAGAATCAAACGAATTAAATAATAAGGTCTAGCTGGCTGGTTCTGCCGGTGTTTATCCCCGTTGCATTGCTTTTTCCATTTGCGAATCTCTTCGCTACCAGCGCTGATCCAGTGTTTTTGAGATATCTGAGTAAGTGAAATTCACTCCACATGTATGGTTGGCCCGCTCGTGATAATCTTTTACAACCAATTTCGCAACCCAACTACTCCTCGGAAGGATAACCGGAAACCTGGCATCATAGGATAATTGCTCAGCAAATTCTGGGCGGCTGGATAGTAAGCTTATCGACGGTAAGCTCTGGACCCCCTCGCCTTTTTTCGGGTTACGCATATTAAAAATCACTAGTCTTACCCACGTGCGAACCCGCACCAATCTGGACAAGTCCGAGAAACGTTCTGGTGTCATTCTTCATTCAGCTGTCACTGGCCCTTCGGTCTTCGCTTTCGGTGGTACAGAGGACTTCGGTCGCGAACGAAGTGCTGACCTTTGAGGGCTTCAGATTTGGTGGGCTGCGAGGCTGATGTTCCAGCTTCCCCTTTGGAAAGTGCTCATTGTTTTGCTTCAACCATTCCGGACCTTCCCAACAAGTCATATCTTCAGCCAGTTGAACCGGACTAACTCCTTGAGTGCAGGCAGTCTTAACGTGTTATCACTGGGACGGGCTGGTGCTGCTCTGGATTTCGCTCACACGATTTGCGACAAACGACCTAAAATCTCTACCTCTGCCCCGGATCCACAAAAGCACGTCCTCGCTGTCGAAATAGAAGCTCGCTTCTTGGATCGAGAGGCATAGGACTTTATGGAGCGATTGCGCCAATCTCAAATCCAAGACAGCGCAATAAGCTTGAGCCTTGGCGTCGTTGTTGCATTGAGTGCCGGGAGAGACCTTCGACTTTGCTGCGCTCATGCGGCAAGTGATTTGACCATTTTCATACTCATTACGGAGGTAACTGACTGCGCCATCCGTCTCCTCGATGCATCCACTAACATCACAACTTCCTTCTTCTTAACAGACGTCGCGAATCGGAGAAGACGTCATCATCTTTAGCGCTGTCCAGAGAATCGTCCATGTATGTGGACCTCAGAACGGTTTCTGCAGCCAGGGGATACTTCTCCTGCTATTTTCTTGCATTTTTCTGCGCCACAAATCGTGCTTCCATTAGCGCGCAGTTCTTCCTAAACACCACACTCCTGAATTCATACTTTTCAGGGTCTTGTTCTGGTCTCAGGTCCCTCCATAGCATTCGGTAGTACGGATGATCTCGTTCCTCGATAACGATCTGCTGATACATTTCCTTAATATCACTGGCCACCGCTACAGGGTTGCGCCGAAACCTCAATAGCACGTCAAACAAATCTTGCTGGAGTTTCGGGCCCGCGTGGATCTCGTCGACCCTTCTCCAGAGCAGCTCTCTTCTTCTGTCATAATTTGTATTGCTGAAAATCCAACGCCAGAAACTTCAACTTCCCAGAAACTCTTTAGGGTACGATCTAAATCACAACAACCGATATCACGACTGTCCCAACCGTTGTTTTGTTACTCAAAAAAGGCTGGACCGATCTGGGATCTGGGAACTGATCGAGGTTTATTACCAGTAGGCCAAATACAAGACCAACCAACTGGACCAAGACGTGCCACAGGTCCTCTCTCAACACCTTGAACGCCCACCATAAAGAAATGCATTTCCGGGTTGTCAACACCGATTACAATATCGGCTAAGCCATCCTTTGTGGAATGGCGATCGTAATGGCGATCGCGGTCCATTACATACCACTTATTAACCGAATTTGAGGTCCGTACTAGAAAAATCAGACCGAGGTCTTGACAGTACAGACCGAGCGATAGCGAGGTCCGTACATAAAAGACCGAGGTCTGATATTTTTCCAGTACGGACCGAACGTATTCGGTTAATAAGGGATTTATTATATGGCATACAGTATTTAGTTTATTTATTTATACAATGCGCTGCAGCATTCTTGCCGGCTCTTTCACCAGCCAGTCGCCAAGCAAGCACTGAAGTGGCTTCCAAAACTTTGTTTTTTACTCGTTAAATAAGAATGATACAGTAATCATAAACAAAAATCAAAGATGAATAAATATAATATTCACATGTACCAAATAATGCTCTTCTTCGTCCATTCTCCGTCGATATTTTTCGTGTCGAAAATAAAAGTGCAAGCTTGTTTTTATTCAAAAATATGAGAGTTGGACCGTTACTACGGCAACGGTCTAATACTGGGGGTTCCAGACCGGCAAAGAACCAATCAGCGCACGCCATTTTAGTCACGAAACCGCGTGCCATATAATAATGGCAAGTAATTACTGGAAAGTAATGGACCGCTGAAAACTCTTCTGAGCTAATCAGTGAGCTCTATTTCAACGGAAGTGACGCTTGCATATAATAAAATGGTTAATAAGATTTATGCGCAAAGAAATTAATACCACTGAGTTGTGTCGAGTTAGGAAATTGTGATGGGACAGGAGAAAGTGAAAATATCACAAGAACCCAATTTATATAGATTAATGTAATGCCTGGTGATCAGGCTGTAAGAACTGGACATGGTGCATCGCAGTGAACAGCTCAATAACGGGCATCATTGTGTACAGAGTGACACGTGAAAACTCACGAAAAACGAATCGCGTGGTATTGTCAATGGATGGGTCAAAGAAAGTACATTATTGCCGAGACAATTCAAAGATGAACTTTACAGTGTAGATATTGAGGCAAGTCTACAACGAAAAGGTTTACTATCAACAACATAAGCGAGTTGGATGGTGGCGAATAATCAAAATTTATGCACACTGATTGGGTTACTGAAAATGTAAACACACTTGTTGATTGGTCTAAAACGAAATCCTCTCTTGTTCCACTGAATAGGAACACACCTTTTACACTAGGTATGTGATAATAGATTTTACATTCGTTCTGATTTCAAAAACTTCACGAAAGTGATAAAGTTATTCTTTTCTTCTGCAGGCACTAATTAGCAAGGAACGAAAACCAGTTTGTGATGAATTGAATAGATTTCACTGACGTCTGCTATACGTTTGGGTATTATAAGAGGTACATATAATGTAATAAAAAATATATTTTAAATATAAATATAGAACCAACAAAGGCAATCAGCCGTTTGCAAGCCACATCAATATTACGTCAACGCATTGCATACAAAAGAATTTCAACCCTCTTAATGATCGCATCTAGAGGCGAATACAGTTTTGCAGAATGTTTGCAAGTATGCGAGGCGAAAATTATAAAATCGTACGCTTCGCTATAAATTCAATTTGCTAACAAAGTTTTGCTATGCTCGCTATTATGTTGCTCTAAAATAGTCTGGTCTTTGCACTACTGCTATCATCCACATTCGTGGCTCTTTTCTCTAACTAGAATAGGGAAAAATGTCAAGGTATGGAAATTGGGTGGGTCTTTAGCGGTGGCGTAGCCAGCATCGATAATTCATATATTCATTTTTTGCGGTATTGATTTCTTTAGGAATTTATTGTCTTTACAGTCACTTAACATGAATATACGAATGTTGCCCCCCCCCAATTATCGACCATGCTACTGCTTTATGAGCATGGGCGCAGCACGATTTATTGAAGTGCATTTCACAATTAAGAAACAGAAAACATTTTCCGTGTTTCTATACAGTTTTAGTATACACCCGGCTATTGTCTATTACAAATCTTACATTCTGATTGGCTACTCAACCATTGTCTATTCGTGATGGTGAACGTTTGGGAAAATTCGCTCGCGCGACTATATAAAATTGAATTAATCAAATTATTTTTCGGTGTAATTGCGGTGTATCGATTATTTTCTCGAAATTAATATATCTAGGTACAGGGTGTAAACTAAAACAATTAGACAACTCGCCTTCGTTGTCTATGAGGGAATAGTGAACTCAGGGTTCGCCTTCGTTGACTATTCGCTCATAGACCACTCGGACTCGTTGTCTAATTGTTAAATAGAAACACACGTGGGAGTTTGGGAGAATGAAACATAAACATTATTAATTGCACAAGTGCATAGGTTTGGCACGTAGATATCTATGGTTTGGCCGTACGACTGGCGGCAAAGCTTTGCGATTGGCTCTGGTGCTCATTAAACCAGTGTGGCATAACTTAGCAATTGGGTCTGATCCCTATCAGAATTCAGCTAATTCAGTCATGGCAAAATGATTAATTTTTAGTATTTTGTGTCTGGCCCTTTGATTAATCATTAAAATATTGAATCATGACAGCTTAGC